AGGCTATTTCACGGCCTGACTACTGTGTGTGTGTGTGTATGTGTGTGTGCGCGTGCGTGCGCGCGTTCAAATCACACATTATAAAAGAAAACACGAGAGTTAAGAAAAGTAACATTCATGATCACAGTATTCAAAAAAATCTTTCCATTTAATGAAAAAAATGACAAAGAATTTGTAGGAATGAGATTTGTTAATTTAAAAGCAAAGATGAGAAGATAACTGAGAGAGGAACGCTAGAAGATAACTGAGAGAGGAACGCTAGAAGATAACTGAGAGAGGAACGCTAGAAGATAACTGAGAGAGGAACGCTAGAAGATAACTGAGAGAGGAACGCTAGAAGATAACTGAGAGAGGAACGCTAGAAGATAACTGAGAGAGGAACGCTAGAAGATAACTGAGAGAGGAACGCTAGAAGATAACTGAGAGAGGAACGCTAGAAGATAACTGAGAGAGGAACGCTAGAAGATAACTGAGAGAGGAACGCTAGAAGATAACAGAGAGAGGAACGCTAGAAGATAACAGAGAGAGGAACGCTAGAAGATAACTGAGAGAGGAACGCTAGAAGATAACTGAGAGAGGAACGCTAGAAGATAACTGAGAGAGGAACGCTAGAAGATAACTGAGAGAGGAACGCTATAAGATAACTGAGAGAGGAACGCTATAAGATAACTGAGAGAGGAACGCTAGAGAGCTACAGTTATCACTAACACAGGAACTACACACTGTGTATTATGTATTAAGTGAACAACACTCACTTGAATTATTCATAAAAAAGTTAGTATGGAGATGACACAATGAATAGCATGAAAGATATTGTTTTATTACTTAGTGAATGAGAGAGTGAGAAGGAGCGAGGAAGAGAGAAAGAATGGAAGGGAGGGAGAAGTGGAGAGAGAGGGAGAGGAGGGGAAAGAGAGAGAAAGAGAGAGAGAGAGGAGGAGGGAAGGGAGAGAGAGATGGCAGAAAGAGAGAGGAACAAGGGAGTACAGATGAACCAAGGTATCTAACCATCGTTTCCTCAGCGGGAGATTAAAACTCTGAATACTGGAAGAAGTTGGTTAAGATCGTGTGGAAGAAGAGAAAATGATAAGTGATAAAGTTAACGAAGAAAAAAGTTGGGTGATAAAGGTTGATAAAACCAGATAATATGGGAAATAAAGATGGTAGATAATATAATTAGCCAAAAAAGTGGAGTGAGTAAACTGAGGAAAAAACTCGCAATGCATAAGAAACGTTTTATTGGCACAACGTTTTACTGTGTATACAGCTTTATCAAGTCATGCAAAATACACGTGTGTGTGTGTGTGTATCTGTATATATAGAAGCAGGTAATATACTGGAGATGAGGTGAGTAAAATCATTAGAGTGGAGCCAGGCAGCAGGTGTTCTGGTCAGTTATGTGTGAACCTCATCTGGTTTTTGGCAAGCACGTTGATCTCATTTCTTTACATTTCAACTGTCAAAAATTTTCCCTGTAATAGTGTGTTTGCCATTGGTTTGGCTAAGTTAAACGCACTTTGTTGACATTTCAGTATAACGGAGCAGTGTAGCTGCTGCATTGCTCAAGAGACCCATGACATGCGTTACTTTGATTCACTCACGTCACCTCTGCAAGGATCTAGTTTCTAGCTTCCCTTCCAGGAGTATATACACATGCATATTTTTTATATATTGTCTGCAAGACTTGATAAAGCTCTGAATCCCAACAAAAGATAACTGCAATGTGTTTTTATGACTTGTCGACAGTACTATATTTAGATCCAGTGAAGTAGATTAAAAATACTTGAAGAAAATAGATGACGCTTGTAGTCATATGAATGAAGAGAGAATAATATGGGTGGTACATGGACACAGTGGATGATTACTTGATAAAGACGCATAATAAAGAGAAATGACAACGAAGAGGAACGAAGATAAATAAAAATGAGAGTAGGGTAGAATGTTACGTCACGGTAGGCAAGGGCTAACGAGCAACAATGGTGGAGTAGACTCTGCTAGGTCACGGTAGGTAAAGGACAATGGTCAACAACAGTGGGGAATAACGAATGACCTTATGGTGGGGAGAGGCCAGTCATAAACAGCAGTGAAGGAGAATGGACGAGGCGAAGACTGTAACTCTCGAAAAGTGTTACAGGTAAGTTGCTGGCGTTGGGGAAGTGTTACTGGCAAGTTGCTGATGTTAGGGGAGTGTCACTGGCCGCGTAATTGCTGACGTTAATGAATCGTGGGCGGGTAAGTTGCTGACGTTAATAAATCGTGGGCGGGTAAGTTGCTGACGTTAATGAATCGTGGGCGGGTAAGTTGCTGACGTTAATGAACTGTGGTAAGGTAAGTATCTGACGTTAGGTAAGTATCATAGATGAGCATCGCCACAATGCTGTAGCTCTTGCCTGACCACGAGTGAGTGTTGTAAGCAGCAGGCGGACAACACCCAGGTGTTAGCATGTGTCAACTACGCAAGCTCGTGTGATTTTTCTGAAAGCAGATATCAAGTCACTACCTTATTATTGGCGATTTGAACCCGGGATCGCTGGATCAAGAGCCCGGGTCTACAACCACAACGCCACCGCACCTAGGAGGAGGAATACAAGAACAAAACATTAACAATCAATCTTCCTGACATATATAACCGTATTTAGGTTGCATGCATAGCACATGAAATCATGGTGGTCGGAGAGGTGGACCTATGGAACGCCAGCTTATCTCTCTAACACTTCAAAATATTAATTTTTAAAGGGGTGGACGGATAAGCCATTGCAAGACCTCGGTCAGATGACCAAAAGCTGCAGTGGCGGGTCATATGACCAAGACCCGCGTCAGGAAACACTTGTCCTCTTTCCTAACGAATCAGACTTAACCTAACCTAATATAACACATACACCAACATCACTAACAATGGATAAAACAAGTTAATAACTAGACATTTTATTTTGGGAGAAGATAGGTAAGTCATACGAGAATGTGTTGAGTTTGTTTACCACTTACATGAAAATGTGCTGAGGTCTCCTCAGGGAGGAATATTCACGAGACTAGATACAAACACTGTACTGTATATATCTCTCACTGTATATATGCTAAGAGTTTACCTCAGTTACCTTAATTATAGGTTTTAAATTAGTTTTTTCTTTTTTTATACAGGCGACATGCAGCCTTTTAAGAACCTTCATACATTCGATAGGGATGACACGTATCATGTCCAATACTTGAATAAGTTGTGGATATATTTACGTTAATTATCATGGAGTGCATTAACTTACTGATGTTCAAACAGTAATTTCCTGATGTTCAAACATTAATTTCCTGATGTTCAAATAACAATTTCCTGATGTTCAAACAATTTCCTGATGTTCAAACATCAATTTCCTGATGTTGAAACATCAATTTCCTGATGTTCAAACATCAATTTCCTGATGTTCAAACATCAATTTCCTGATGTTCAAACATCAATTTCCTGATGTTCAAACATCAATTTCCTGATGTTCAAACATCAATTTCCTGATGTTCAAACATCAATTTACTGATGTTCAGATACTATGGCAGAGACAAAGAAATATAAGCTGAGATTGGTCAATCAAAGTTGGTCTCATATAAGACTAGTATGCCTGTAAGGGCACTTGATCCGAGGAGGAGGAGCTACGACCACTTTGGTACAAGTGTGTATACTTCAAATTCACCAGGTGCTGTGTGACTCCTACGGGTTTAGCTCTTCCCCAGTTATAATACACCTAAGCTGAACATTGTAGGTCATGGAACAAGTACACCCGACAAACAAGTACACCCGACAAACAAGTACACCCAACAAGTACACTCAACCAAGAAGTACACCCAGCCAAGAAGTACACCCGACAAACAAGTACACCCGACAAACAAGTACACCCAACAAGTACACTCAACCAAGAAATACACCCAGCCAAGAAGTACACCCGACAAACAAGTACACCCGACAAACAAGTACACCCAACAAGTACACTCAACCAAGAAGTACACCCGACAAACAAGTACACCCGACAAACAAGTACACCCGACAAACAAGTACACCCGACAAACAAGTACACCCGACAAACAGGTACACCCGACAAACAAGTACACCCGACAAACAAGTACACCCGACAAACAAGTACACCCGACAAACAGGTACACCCGACAAACAGGTACACCCGACAAACAAGTACACCCGACAAACAAGTACACCCGACAAACAGGTACACCCGACAAACAGGTACACCCGACAAACAAGTACACCCGACAAACATCAGACACTTTCAAGGTCATTTCAAGTTACCGTTGGCACTGACCCACCGGAAGTGTTGTGAGACAAGTGCAGCGACGTGGTTGCCTACGCTCCATTATGTCCTAGACTCTATTATGTCCAGGATTCTATTGTACCCAAGAGTATTTAGTCCAAGAGTGTGTTGTGGCTAGGAGATAATTCTGTCTGAGTGTCCATTGTGGCTGAGTCTGGCGGCTTAAATAGTGAGAAAGGCAGGGGTAAAGAAGGGAGGGTAGCAGGGGGGGTAAGGTAGGGAGGGAGGCAGGGGTAAGGTAGGGAGGGAGGCAGGGGTAAGGTAGGGAGGGAGGCAGGGTAAGGTAGGGAGGGAGGCAGGGGTAAGGTAGGGAGGGAGGCAGGGGTAAGGTAGGGAGGGAGGCAGGGGTAAGGTAGGGAGGGAGGCAGGGTAAGGTAGGGAGGGAGGCAGGGGTAAGGTAGGGAGGGAGGCAGGGGTAAGGTAGGGAGGGAGGCAGGGGTAAGGTAGGGAGGGAGGCAGGGGTAAGGTAGGGAGGGAGGCAGGGGTAAGGTAGGGAGGGAGGCAGGGGTAAGGTAGGGAGGGGGAAGGTAAGGAGGGGGCAGGGTAAGGTAGGGTGGCATGGTAAGGGAGGGTGCAGGGGTAAGGTAGAGAGGGAGGCAGGGGTAAGGTAGGGAGGGTGGCAGGAGTAAGGAGGAGGAGTGGCAGGGGTAAGGTAGGGAGGGTGGCAGGGGTAAGGAAGGAGGGTGGCAGGGGTAAGGTAGGAGGGTGGCAGGGGTAAGGAAGGAGGGTGGCAGGGGTAAGGTAGGGAGGTGGCAGGGGTAAGGAAAGGAGGGTGGCAGGGGTAAGGAAGGAGGGTGGCAGGGGTAAGGTAGGGAGGGTGGCAGGGGTAAGGAAGGAGGGTGGCAGGGGTAAGGAAGGCAGGGTGGCAGGGGTAAGGTAGGGAGGGTGGCAGGGGTAAGGAAAGGAGGGTGGCAGGGGTAAGGTAGGGAGGGTGGCAGGGGTAAGGAAGGCAGGATGGCAGGGGTAAGGAAGGCAGGGTGGCAGGGGTAAGGTAGGGAGGGTGGCAGGGGTAAGGTAGGGAGGGTGGCAGGGGTAAGGAAGGCAGGGTGGCAGGGGTAAGGAAGGCAGGGTGGCAGGGGTAAGGAAGGCAGGGTGGCAGGGGTAAGGTAGGGAGGGTGGCAGGGGTAAGGAAGGCAGGGTGGCAGGGGTAAGGGAGGGAGGGTGGCAGGGGTAAGGAAGGCAGGGGTAAGGCTCAGAGAAAGGGATTAAAGAAAGAGGGGAAGAAGGAAAGGTAGAGGAAGGCGATGAGAAGAGGTGAGGGGGGAGGGGAGGGAAGAGAAGGGGTAAGTGAGGGGAGAGAGGGGAGGAAGGGGTGCGTGCAGACTACAAGTAGATAATTACCTGCTTCAGCACGGTGTGATAGACACTGAAGTGTTACACCACGCTACCATGACTGTGGCAGGGAGGGAAGGAGGCAGGCAGGGAGGGAAGGAGGCAGGCAGGCAGGCAGGGAGGGAAGGAGGCAGGCAGGCAGGCAGGCAGGCAGGGAGGGAAGGAGGCAGGCAGGCAGGGAGGCAGGGAGGGAAGGAGGCAGGCAGGCAGGGAGGGAAGGAGGCAGGCAGGAAGGGAAGGAGGCAGGCAGGCAGGGAGGGAAGGAGGCAGGGAGGGAAGGAGGCAGGCAGGGAGGGAAGGAGGCAGGCAGGCAGGCAGGGAGGGAAGGAGGCAGGCAGGCAGGGAGGGAAGGAGGCAGGCAGGCAGGGAGGGAAGGAGGCAGGCAGGCAGGGAGGGAAGGAGGCAGGCAGGCAGGGAGGGAGGGAGGCATGCAGGCAGGAAGGAAGGGAGGGAGGCATGCAGGCAGGGAGGGAGGGAGGGAGGCAGGCAGGCAGGAAGGGAGGGAGGGAGGGAAGGAAGGAGGGAGGCAGGCAGGCAGGGAGGAAGGGAGGGAGGGAGGCATGCAGGCAGGCAGGGAGGGAGGCATGCAGGCAGGCAGGGAGGGAGGCATGCAGGCAGGCAGGCAGGCAGGGAGGGAGGCATGCAGGCAGGAAGGAAGGGAGGGAGGCATGCAGGCAGGGAGGAAGGGAGGGAGGCATGCAGGCAGGCAGGGAGGGAGGGAGGCAGGCAGGCAGGCAGGAAGGGAGGGAGGGAGGGAGGAAGAGGAGGAGGAGGGAGGCCAGGCAGGGGGGGGCATGCAGGCAGGCAGGCAGGGAGGGAGGGAGTCATGCAGGCAGGGAGGGAGGGAAGGAGAGAGGGAGGGAAGGAAGGAGAGAGGGAGGGAGGGAGGCATGCAGGCAGGTAGGGAGGGAGGCATACAGGCAGGCAGCAGGGAGGGAGGGAGGCATGCAGGCAGGCAGGCAGGCAGACAGGCAGGCAGGCAGGCAGGGAGGGAGGGAAGCATGCAGGCAGGCAGGCAGGCAGGCAGGCAGGCAGGCAGGCAGGCATGGAGGGAAGGAAGGAGGGAGGGAGGCATGCAGGCAAGGAGGGAGGGAGGCAGGCAGGCAGGCAGGGAGGGAGGGAGGCAGGCAGGCAGGCAGGCAGGCAGGCAGGGAGGGAAGGAGGCAGGCAGGCAGGCAGGGAGGGAAGGAGGCATGCAGGCAGGCAGGGAGGGAGGGAGGGAAGGAGGGAGGCAGGCAGGCAGGCATGCAGGCAGGGAGGGAAGGAGGCATGCAGGCAGGGAGGGAGGCATGCAGGCAGGCAGGCAGGGAGGGAAGGAGGGAGGCAGACAGGCAGGCATGCATGCAGGGAGGGAGGGAGGCATGCAGGCAGGCAGGGAGGGAGGGAGGCATACAGGGAGGGACGGAGGCAGGCAGGCATACAGAGAGGGAGGGAAGGAAGGAGGGAGGGAGGGAAAGAGGGAGGGAGGGAGGGAGGCATGCAGGCAGGGAGGGAGGCAGCCATGCAGGCAGGGAGGGAGGGAGGCATGCAGGCAGGGAGGGAGGCAGCCATGCAGGCAGGGAGGGAGGGAGGCATGCAGGCAGGGAGGGAGGCAGCCATGCAGGCAGGGAGGGAGGGAGGCATGCAGGCAGGGAGGCAGGCAGGCAGGCAGGGAGGGAGGGAGGCAGGCAGGCAGGCAGGCAGGCAGGCAGGCAGGGAGCGAGGCAGGGAGGGAGGGAGTGAGGCAGGGAGGGAGAGAGGCAGGCAGGGAGGCAGGCAGGCAAGTAGGGAGGCAGGCAGGTAGGTAGGGAAGGACGGAGGCAGGCAGGCAGGGAAGGACGGAGGCATGCAGGCTGGCAGGCAGGGAGGGAGGAGGGACGGGCGGAGGGAGGGAGGGAGGGAGGGAGGGAGAGAGGCAGGCAGGGAGGCAGGCAGGCAGGTAGGTAGGAGGCAGGCA